AGATGAACACAAATTTGAATGAGGATTTTTTAGAAAATTAGGTCTTGCAATTTCGTCATCACAATTCCTGTGAATTCTTTAAATTATGTGAGTCCCCTGGATACCTAATCTTATGAGTCCTTGATAATAGTTAATATAACTTTGCATAGGATTCTACCAATTCTTTCACAGAAAAAAACAAAAACACACAAGAAATTTCTGTAATAGAGAGACACATGCACGTAAACAACCTGCTGCTTTGAAGGTGTAAGGATGTTGAAGTATTGGAAAAACGCTGAAAAGTTCTTAGTCAATATTGCCATATGAACACTGTCAAATTTAGAAGATCTTACCAGGGAGCTGTAATGTCATTACAGCTCCCTGATCTTACCGAGCCTATATTTCAGATGGAAAAGTGTGGCTGAACTTTTTTGTAGAAAAACTTTTGAATTACTGCACCACATTTAAGGGAATTTACCACAATTCCAAGTACTGTAAAATGACTAATTCACTGGGTTCAAATTTCACTGATTTACTATTTCAGGCATATTCAGTGGGTTTTAAATTCATGGTTTTATCATTTAGATAATGTGTTCTATGCTAAATTTTACATATTCACTGGGTTTTAATTTAGCGCATTTTCCAGTCAGCAAAATAAACAAAATTAAAACCCAGTGAATAATTAACCCTTTTACAGTAAGCAGTACCTTATTGTAAAGGGCTAACAGTCTCATTGTGAGAATAAACTGTTGCTAAAATAGCCAACATCTTGAATTCATGAAAATACAGCAATTATGCCAAATTATCTAAAAACACAATGTTTTACACTAAACCTTGTAACGTAGAGTATTGCTTATATTCCAGCCTTATGTTCACCATAACAATGAATTAATCACTGTGAAATGATGAATAAGATAGTGCTAAGTTTGACAATGTCAAATGTTCAAATCTCTTTATTTGTTTTTGAATATGATCACATCATGCCAACTTAGGGTGAATAAAATCAGGATTAAAAGCATGCAAGTACTACATGTGTCAGCATTGCAAACAAACTTTAATTTTTTTCTTCGAAAAAATAAATGAATAAAACAGAAGGGAGGCAGGGTGTCAAATTGAATGGATTTTTTGTTATCCCAACCTTCAGCATTCACTGTGCCAGTATGGTCAGCTTTCGTAAAGAATGTGGGAGCTATGTTGACAAAAATGTTGAAGATAAAAAAAAACAATATTAAATGTTTGTGATAATGTACCAATCAACGATGATGAATGAAAGAAACATGAGATGAGAACATTGAAATGAACACAATGTGAAGGCATGACAACTAATCATTAGATGAGAACAATGAAATGAACACAATGTGAAGGCATGACAACAATCATGATCAGAAAGGTGGCACACTGAAGATAAAATATTATAGATCAGATTCTTATTTGTTTGCAATGTCCAAATGAAATCCTTAGGGGGAAAACAAGCATATATAGTACATTGAATTTTTTTTTCACTTTCTCAGGAATGTTGTCATGTCAACAAAAAAAGTTTCAACAAATATCCAAGTTGTAGTACATATGTAGAGACGACAGCTGAGAGACTAAGAAAGGTTACTATGGTTACAAGAATATGATACGTGCTAATACAAAATACCACAGAATGAAACACTCAAATGTTAAAATTATGATGCGCTAAGGTTTTAATATTTACAGATGATCATGCCTTTCACCCCATTATTGTTATAACGGTATGATCCCTTTCATAGTTTTAAAGGGGTGATACAAAGAAGAGAAGGGTATATGAGTGAACAAAGTTGTGAGAAAGGATTGAATCAAACAGGTGTCAGTGTCGGAGATTGATGGAAACCAAGATGGGTTCAACCATTCACTTGCAGAGGGGTGTAAACCAAGATGGGTTCAACCATTCACTTGCAGAGGTGTGTAAATATTATGGGTTCAACCATTAACTTGCAGAGGGGTGTAAATATTATGGGTTCAACCATTTCACTTGCAAAGGGATGTAAATATTATGGGTTCACCCATTCACTTGCAGAGGGGTGTAAATAGTATGGGTTCAACCATTCACTTAGAGAGGTGTAAACATTATGGGTTCAACCATTCACTTGCCGAGGGATGTAAAGCATTCCAAAGTGACTGTAGTATTAAAAAAAGAAACAGTCTTGTATACTTACATGCATAGAAATTGGATTGATTGGCACCTGCCGCTCTCTGTCGGGCCATTTCACGCTCTCGCATCCGCTGTGCTGCTCGTTCTTTAGCAGCTCTCCGTGCCTGTTTACTGCCATATGGAGGGTGTGGCGAAATGTCGATTTTTTCATCGACTGGAAAAGATGCCTCGGGCCCATTTTGAATTGTAAACTCAGCAAACTGCTTGTAATCATCACAGCAGTATAGCTAAATTAGGGAGGACAGAAATATATACTATTTATTAAATAAATCAACAAGAAATTGAAAGTATGAATAACCCTTTCAATCTAGATGATTGATATAAAAACAAAAACTTACAAAAAGAAATAAACATGGATGTGATTGATTTCAGTACTGTATGAGAATTCAGCTCTTATGGGCTACAACTCAAATTCTAATCAGATTGTTGAATTTGAAAAATTGGAGGAGTGTACAGTTTAGATGGACACTAAGACATATACGTACATACACACATACGGACACAATCAGTAATATGCTACTCAGCACACACATTGATCAATTCCAGATACCGTGGTATACAAAGGTTTAATTCAATGACATTCTATCACAATAACAAAAACATTGAAAGTCCTCCACTGAAACAAATATACCATCAAGTTGCATGTTTCATTTCTTTCCTTCAATATAAAATGTCTAGCTGATTTCTCCCTCAGGATAAGTATCATGACTATTTTGCATATGAGAAAGATGTTTAATTATCTCCAAAAAACAAATTATATTGTTTGTAGAATTGTTTGATATTTAACTAGGCTCTGGGGAAAAAAAATGATATATAATACACATATATCATATGAATGAATTTAAACATTGAAATCAATAGTGATACAGAATATGACAGGGAAGAATATGTTTACTCTCACTACAAAACACATAATATAATGGCAAAGAATTGATGAAGCGAGGATCAATCATTAACGTTTAACACTGGGTGGAAATATATATAAACATTCATAATGTACTGTATCATTCCCTCATAAAAGTTAATGGTCAATCCCTTATCAAAACACAATTATTATAATCCACAGGTAGCCGCAATACCGTTTGCCATATGACAAACATGAATTTTTACAAAGCATATGTACATTACCATGGCAACACAAAGTTAATATTATACCTCATAAAATTCTTGGTATTCATCACAGCAGAACAGCTATATACAAACGGGAGTTGTCATGGTGATGGATATGATGATTAACAGGACATGGTTGTCACGGTGATAACAGAAGTGCAAGAGGCAGGCAGGTTGAAAGGTGGCAGAGAAAAATACATGGATACAAAACGATGATGATAAAAAAATAAATGAGAGCAGTATATAAGCAACATGCAATTTAGTATTAATATATAAAGATACATGCAAAAGTAATAATCCCCCCTCTCTCTATAGTAAACTAACCCCCATGCAATGAATGTACGATGGATGTAGGGTTTATGTTAGTGACATGCAATGAAAGGAAATATAATATACCACACAGATGTGAACACATGCAAAGAGATATCATGCAATTACAAGCTAAGATAATTAGATTCAGCTGATATTTTAGCAATTTGACTACATATTTCAGTGCAGAGTAATCAAAGTATTATCAACAAAATTAGGCCATCATAATAAAATTTAAAAAAATATCTAAAGCATAAATTGTTTTTTTTTTCTACCAAAAAGAAATAAGGAATACATTTCTGTAATCTGGGAATTAGGAACAATACAGAGCCTCACTCAAAAAGGCACAGCTGTCAGATATACAGCAATCTACTAATTAGTGTTACAACATAGAACAAAGATTAAATAAAAGGTTTGCGATGATAAATGATAGTAGGCATGGATTACATGCCGTGTAGAAAAATATCCATGATTTAATCAATTTACCATCGCGATTTAAAATAAACAAATTTTGATTCATGTTCTAGTAGGTATATAAAAATGATCATGCCTTCTTTCAATAATGTCAATATATTATTAAGTCAATTTTTGATTATGGTAGCAGTGTTTTTAATTAAAAAATTTTTTTTTTATTGCTACATTCATGGTATATATAGAAGACAAAGGAGACGGATATAAATACAGCAACACAGCAAATGAAACATATACATCAAACACATTTGTTTTCCTTTTTATGAAACAAAGGAATCATACAAACAGACATGCAGAATTGTAGACATTACTGCATCTATATCAGTCAACAGTATACACACATTGAAATAGAAATAATCCATAATATACATTCATAAAATTAGGTATCTCACAATTATTCTATATTTCTAATATTCACAGCAAAAGTGTCAATCATTTTAAGTATAAAATAAAAACAGCATATCTAAATATCAGATATTATTTAAAATATTAGTAATAGTTTTTGTCTACTTTTTTTTCCCAATCAGCAATGGTTATTGTTCTACTTTGTATAATTGCTGAATGGTTTCCATGGTTACAAATCAACTCAGGTTTGTAATCATTTCACACAAAGTCGTAGAGTCATTTGAATAGAATCATCCATGGTTACCAAATCAATTAAATTTGCATATTCAAATTGCACTTCATTATGCACGAACACGACTATTATCAAGCTTACCTCGCTAGCCGGGTACCTTTGCTGCATTTCTAATGTAGGAAACGGCTTTATTGGCTCCTCACAGAACTCACAATAACCACTCCAGATACCACCCTCAGCTATGTGACGTGTAGTAGGATCCTATAAGTGTAAGGGGGGGGTACGTTTAATGATAAAGATATCTTATGCAATAGAGTTTGTCACAGTTACAAGACCTTATTAAAAATTGAACATAATAGAGTACATGAAACAGTTCAAATGAGGTCACCAAGTGCAGACATTAACTTTTTCACCACCAGTTCCCTCTTTTATCACAAATTCACAAAATAGTTCCGTTTATAGTCTGCACTTTCCTTCAGAAGATAGAGACAAAAATAGCTAAAATTTTTGAGTAAAAATTGAAAATTTTGTCTGTTTTGAGGGTTGATTTCCAGAAATATTGGAGAATATAAGAAAAAAAGTGCAGAAAAATTTGAAAAATCTGGTGGTGAAAAGGTTAAAAGATATTTTCAGCCTCAACTGCATGCATTACTTTGTTATGATTTTCTATAAATCTCAAGAAGATCTACATTTGTTTGTATTCCCTAAATAAAATCCTTATGAAATTATTTTATAACTACTACAGTTATAAATACATGCTCGCTATTTTAGGTTTTGTTTACTCATTTTGTTTTACGAATTGAATGCCTTAATGAATAATTTTATCACAAGAGGTAATGCTTAGTGGCATGCACCAAAGTCGACTTTTGTTGCTTTCCACAAAATAAACCTGTAAGGAAATAGAAAATTACGTTGATTTGGTCAAAATTTAAGACGCTATAGAAATATACATAAAATGTGTAAAATGTTCCACCAACAATTTAGGCGGGAAAAATTTGCGATTGAAAAAAAATAAAATTGCACTTTGAGATGAGACTTTCATGTTTTGAGACTATAAATACGAGATATTCATTCTTTCACTACAGAGTAGTTCAAAATCCTGACGCTTTTTCATGAATAGTTTACATTGCGATCACAGAACTTGATGAAATTAACAGACAAATTATGTTAATTAAGTTTTAATAATCAATGCACATATTTCGGGATGTGTTAAATACTGGACCAATATGACATCATCGAATGACATTTGCTTTCAACTGATGATTACAAACTGATTTCATACAAGATTCGGATTTAAATTGTCACATGACCTTCATTCTTACCTTGCAATCTACTTGTGGTTGCTGGGACTCTCTTTGATATTGTAGTATAGTAGGTGGGCCAACACCAGGCAATAAATCACTCACGCTGTCTTCTTTTTCTCTAACTATCTCAAAATCAGACTATATCAACAAATAAAAATATTTTATTTGAAGAATAATACATACTACATCAGAAACAATATTATTCATATAATATTATGATAATATATGCCGGTATGTTCGAATATGATCATAGACATACTATATTCTTGTGTAAGTGAATATAAAATTGTCTTTTGTGATTAGAAGGGAATTAACTGGTACCCTGATTTATATTATCTTATGTAAGTATCATATCTAAACAAGCAAGAGAAAAAAATCAAGTTAAATTTTGAATTTTAAAAGTTATGTTTTCATCATTTATTAATATATCCTGAAGTTGTCAAATGTTTTATTTTTTCAGAAATAACAGTTAACCCTAATAAAAAAAGTGACAGCAAGGTAAGTTACTTTGTTACTAAAGAACAAAGATAAGACTACTGGGATACACTTACATCTGACTCTGAGCTGCTGAGTTCAAGTGGTGGAACTCCTTGCACATCTAGCATCGATTCTTCTTTCAACACTTCTGGTGGTTTTATTGAGCCACTTAACCTAGACTTGCCTACTAGGCTTGATGAGGTGGACTCCGCATCATAGTCGGTATCAGAAAGCTGACCGGATGATAACGAACTGTGACGTTTTCGTCTTCTTCTCTTTTTCAACCCGCTACCGCTAGGTATATGTCTGTCTGAAGTTTCTAGAAAAATGATGAAAAATGAGATGTTATAATGAGAATTTTGCTGCTACATTATTTATTTACATAAAAAATTCTGCAAAAGATCATTATGTGTTCTCACAGAATAAGCATAAAATAGCCATTTCTTGTTTATTTAATAACCAAAAACCTTACTTTTTTTTTAATTGATTTGACATTCAAATCAGTAGGGAACTGAGTAATAATAGATTGACACATCATTAACAACACTAAGTTTTATTGAAATTAACATTCAAAATTATAAAATATATATATCATAAATAAAGCTATATTTCCATCAAAAATAATATTGTTAACAAAGC